TCCCAGACAGGTAATTTAGCAGTGCTCTAAAAATAATTTACAGATGTAAAAAAAAAAATTGTTAATTCCCTCTGCCTTTAGGATAAAAAAAGATTAAAATAATAGCAAAAAGGCTTTCAAAGCGGGCAATAAATTTCAGAAATACAAAATTACAGATTTCATAACTTTGGAATTAATTTTCAGATACTAGATATTCAGATTTACTACTAATATTTAAGGTAACTAGCATGGTAAGTTAAAAGTTAATTGAATCTTCCCCTTAGTTTAAAAAAGAATAACAAAAATTGAGAATCAGGGAAGGAAAGAGAAGAAAAAAAGGATCCTGGACATCTGAAAGCCTGGAATTTTCCCTTATGAACCTGTAAAACAAGAACATTCACCTCATTTTCTCCCAGCAGAGGTTACATATCTACTTATGTTTTCTCGAATGAAAAAAACCTTCTTGATTATGAATTTAATTTTGCAGGAGACAGGTCATCATCACTATCTGTATTTAGAGAAGCTTTGATATTAAAGAGAAATATTTCGTTAGGGCATTTGAATCAACTTTTCGATGTTTACTAAAACAAAGTCTGGTTATTCCAAATATTACTCCTATCTATCAATAATGAGAAAAAGAAAGGAACACTCAAAGAATCGAATCTATGCCAGAAACTCTACTCAGCCCTTCCCTTTGTATTTTTACTACTTTTTTGCAATTACCCATGAAGTAGATATAATTTTCCTATCTGTAAACATAGAACAAAGAAGAGGGGGGGGAAAAAAACTCCATTATGGTTACAAGTTATTTATTTATTTTTTTGCTTTTTGGGTCACACCCGGTGACGCACAGAGGTTACTCCTGGCTCATGCACTCAGGAATTACTCCTGGCGGTGCTTGGGGGACCATATGGGATGTTGGAAATCGAACATGGGTGAGCTGTGTGCAAGGCAAATGCCCTATCTGCTGTGCTATCGCTCCAACCCAGGTTACAAGTTATTAAATGGTGATTTTGAGCTTAAAACATACATCTCTAATTTGAAAGTCTTAAGGCTATCATACCAATATATTCAATTCTAGTAGGGATCATTTAACATTGTTTACTTTGGGGGCTACGGTTGCAGTGAAAACTTGAGTTCAGAGAGATAAACAGCAGTGAATCCTGAAAGACAGCAACTTGCTGGAGATCTCTCCGGACCCTGTACTGAGCCAATTCCACCAGGGCACCTCAGATGGAGAGGGTGTGCCCTCTCTACCCGCTACAGATGAAATCCCGGTGGCCACAAGCTTCCAGAAGCAAAACCCGGGTAAGTGGGATCAGGGACTAAGACTCCGGACCACATGGCGACAGCAGAGACAGGTCATCCCTTCCCATCTCCCTGCCCACTTGGGGTCCTGGCTATCATGCCTACGAACTGCCTCTGGGAGCCATCTCAGCACATCAATGGTCTTGATCCAGAGACTCCCAAATGAATCTCAAAATGGATTAGCTCCTTACAGAGATGTCTCTGGGCCCCAACGACTTAAAATTTCAGAACTCTAGAAATGTGATACCACAAAAGCGGGTGCGCAACCTCTCATAATATTCATAATAAGCAATAGAAAATAAATTATCTAGCACCTTCCCCTGGCAGGCAGGCTTAAATGGGGGTGGGAAAATTTGAAATAATGGTGGTGGAATTGGTGCTGAAATATTGAATATAATCAATTAATATGAACAATCTTATAAAATGAAAAAACAAACAAACTTGGGTTTAATCCCTGGCACTGTGGGGTAAAAAATATCCTTCAACGGCTCAATCTTCCATTGTAAATAAATATACTTATTCAGTGTCTTCATCAGTTAAGCTTATACACTTAAACAATCTGAACGTTCTTCAATCTTGTTTGGCACAACTTACTTTTGAAGGTCAGAGTGGAACTGATTTCCATTTAATCCTTTTTAGTCCATCACTATAACTACCAAATGCTCAAAGCACTGGCAGAATCCCAGGATGATCAGTTCACTGAACAGCCACCTCGTTTAGACTATTCAACAAATTCCAGTAAAGCCATGACTTAGGTGAGAATGAAAAGACTTGTACACGCTGTTCCTCTCGGTGTGGTCTATCCATGAGCTCATGGGGATGGTTTGTCTTGTCTTTTCTTTTCAAATTGTAGGCACCATGATTTACAATACAGTTAAAGGTAAGGTTTCATGCATATAACTTACCTACCCCCGGAGTTTCCTCCCCACTCCCCACCACAATAAGCTGAGTTCAATAGATGAGTTCTCAGGTTCTCTTGCCTTTGGGCCATTTATTATGCCTTGATTGTGTTTCTTTATAATAGATGGTTTCCTTGATAAGTGAACTGGGTTAAGTGACTGTTCCCAGCTTTACCTACCAAACAGTAGGTGTTACTATGATGCTATTTTTGTTGTGGATGGTTATTTTTACCACACCTGGCAGAGGTTAAGGCTTACTCCTGATTCTGTGCTAGAGGATCATTCCTGGTAGAGCTTGGGGACCATATGTGGTGCTGGGGCTCTAACCTGGGTCGATCACAAGGCAAACATCTTAAGCCTTGTGCTATGTTCCCCGCCCACACTATGATGATTTTAGGCAGATGCCTGAGGAGCTCACCTTAGAAAATCTGGATGGGCCTAAGTTACTCAGCAGAAAAACCTGGCAGAACTGAGGCTTCCCAGAGAAAAAATCCATGCAGTGCACAGTAGCTTTAGCATGTTCTTCCTGAAGACCTCCGCTACGATTTCACATAAATCTGGCCCGTCTTGCAACCACAGAAGCCAATTCCTGCCAATAAACCCCTTGACTGATGATCTCTTACTGGTTCTGCTTCTCCAATTAAAACTTGACAGGTGCTGTCACAAACACCAATATCTCACCAACAGAAAATACCTAAGAACGACCTGAACAATAATTGAGGGGTTTGATACAACCCAGAGACAAGAGTTTCACATAAAGTTACTAGACACATAGCTGTCAAGCACACTGATGGAGGACTTTAGTTTAGATCATGACAAAATGATCTTAAAGTTTCCCTGGAAAATTTTTTTAAAAGACAGAATAATTTGTACAAAAAATAAGAAGTAGGTAGCATCTGCCCGGTACATTATCTCTCCTGGATTCTCAACTAAAGCTACATAAAACCAGCCAATGAGCCAGCAAGTGGACTAGTTGAGGGAGCTAACTCAGTGGAATGTAGGACCTAGCTGTAGAGCTGACCCATAGGGATGCATCACACTAGGAGGAGGCCCCAGGGGGCTCCCCTTATCCTTCATATTTGCTACCCGGCACTGCTCAGAATTCTGTTTTCAGAGGCGTATTGTACCTCAGTACTCTTCCTTTGGGAATCCCAATATCTAGGTATCACTGTGATAACTTTATTTGCTAACACTGCAATAAAGGGGAAGGGTAAAGGGAAGTGTGTGTGTGGGCAGGGGAGTTGAGGAGGAGATGAGGGGTGGGGGCACAAACTATAAGATTAATCCAGAGGTCAGAAAACAAGCAAAAGGTTTCCTTGAGTTCTGCCCACACATTAAAGTTTCAAAGTATTACTATCCATTACTTAAGGGATATGGCAACGGCATTTAGCATATGAATTATTAGGTGCATGGAATTTTCTTCTATATATCAGGAGTAGCTTTAAGCAATTTGCATTTAAAAATCTGTCAACATGTCTTTTTATAACAAGCTTACCTAATAACTTAAAGACATAATGAAGTAATAAATAGAAAGTGAAAGCAGCATTCTCTGGAGAAAGAACACTGTGACTGGAATATTTAATAAAACAGAAAAAGGCAAAGTCCTTTCACTGTTTTAGCTTCACAAAGAAATACTGTGAAGGAAGGCTGGCCCTTCCTTTAGATTGGAGCCATTTCTTAAGAAGGGTCACCCTTGGCGGTGCTGGGATATCTAGTGCCAGGGATCAAATCCAGGGATTGAATTTTAAACACTCTTAGAGCCAAGTGAACAATTTGTGATCACGTTTTATTCCTATCAGAGAAAGTGTAATTGATGTGATTATGCGATTTTCTGGATATCAAAATACTAGGGTATTTTTGGCTTTGTAAACAGGGAGAGGAGCTTTATTTAAAAAAAAAACTATATTTACCATTAGAACATTAGGATAAGAACTGCTGTAAAAATGGAATTTAGTATCTAAGAAGGTAATTAATGATGGAGATTGTCAAAGAACCTTAAAATGATTCCATGCTGAACCCATATACACAAAAAAATCTACATATTTTCTTTTCTAAAGTTATACAGATTAGATACCAATAATACTATAATCTATAATAGAAATGCACTAAATACAGCACATTTGTCAACCACTTCTAAAATGTATTTATTATTAACTACACCAAAACATGGTATACTTGATTCATTTTCATATTAAACGAAACATGATATAGTTCTTTACTGGCTTTATCTGGGTGCCAGAATATTTCTGAGCGTTTGGTGGGGGTGGGTGTCTTGAGAATTTTCAGCATTTTCACTGTTAATAATGCTTCATGCTGATGTTGGTATGACACAGAAGATGCTAGAAGAGAATTAGCATTTAAAATAGGCTTTCTTTAGAATTTGTAACTGGCTGGTTCTAGGCTTCAGAAACAGTATCAGGCTCTCTTTGATCGTGTGTCTCAGCAGTGAGGCACTGTCATAGATGGATTTTCACTGGTCTGATCTTGCCAGCCTATTTCCACCAGACAATGCTCACACTTCCCAGACCAAAGGAGCAGCTTCTTCTAATACTTTTTATCTTCAATGCACACAGGCATATGCAAAATATAGAACTGATCTCAATCCAAAGAAAAAATGGTAAAGCCCAAAAATTGTTTCATTCAATTCCTGGTCGTTTTTATGGAATACTACTAGGAAAAAAAAAAATTCCTCATGACCTGAGATGATGGGGTTGAATGACAGAAGGTTTCTTGGGAAATCAATTAGAAGACAGAGATAATTGCTTTTTAATGGAGCTTCCTGGCATAATTATCTGTGTTTGGAAGATAACTTACCAGTAATGCCATTGGATTCCTGCTGTAGGTCACAGTACCAGAGTCGGTTTACTGGATCACATCCCTCTCGTATTGATAACAAGACATAGCGACCATCATCAGATAACTGCGAAGAAAAACAGTACAAGAGATTGAACAAATATGTATATAACTGATAAAATATATATATATAAAGCCATATATAATTATATTTATATATTCATGTATATTTTTGTATATGTGTATTTAGGTGGACCAGACTCAATGGTGCTCAGGGCTTATACTTGGCTCTGTGCTCAAGGGTCAATCACTCCTGCAGAGGTCTGGGGGACCACATGGAGTACCAGGGATCAAACCTGGGCATCAGGCATGTGTAAAGCAAGTGTCCATCTTGTTCAACCATCTCTCCAGCCCCCAGAATATATTTTTTCTTTTCTTTCTTCTTGGGTCACACCTGGTGATGCACAGGGGTTTACTCCTGGCTCTGCACTCAGGAATTACTCCTGGCAGTGCTCTGGGATGGGATGCTGGGAATCAAACCCAGGTTGGCTGTGTGCAAGGCAAACACACTACCTGCTGTGCTATCGGTCCAGCTCTTTGGAATATATTTCTTATGAGAGCACTTTTATTAAGTGTAATAGTAAGTAAAAAAAAAAATCAAGGTTACACTCCAAAATACAGTCTTGATCCCAAAAGTTAAAACTGAATTTTGAAAGTTATCGGGAAAAAAAAAAGATGAACATCAATACTAACTTACTTTACTCTTCATCAGGGGTTTATTTTAACAAAACATAAGGAAATATTTATGCAGAAAATATCAGTAGATAAAAGAATGTCATGACTCAATGTGATTTTATTTCAAGACTATTTTTTAACTAAAAATATGTGCAATCTGCCATTCTGAATACTAATATCCCTAACTTAAGTTTCCTGATGGGTTATGAATTTTTATATGTTGTAATTAAGAAAAATGGGTGTGGAAGCAAAAACAGTCATGGTGGTTACACTGGCCACATTAGCAAGTTTCTATCATAAGGTCTGCTTTCAATTACCTGTACCCAAGATGTCAGCAATTTAAAAAAAAAAGTATACCTTTATGCATTTCTTTTATAGTTCTATGTAGAAGTATATATGTGTGTGTGTGTGTGTGTGTGTGTATGTGTGTGTGTATATATATTTTTTTTGGGGGGGGTGGGGTAGCTTTGGGCCACACCAGGTGATGTTCAAAGGTCAGTCCTCGCTCTGCACTCAGGAATCACTCCTGGTAGTGCTTGGGGGCCCATATGAGATACCGGGGATTGAACCTTGGTCAGCAGCATGCAAAGCAAGCACCTACTCACTTCAGTATCTCTCCAAGTCCCTAAGTGGAAGATCTTAGGTAGCAGAAAGAATCTTAACAATAGCATTGAAACAAACTAGTATGGTTTTGAAATCCCAAAATTTTTTTGTTGGTGGTTTTTGTTTTTTTAGGGGGGCCATACTCAGAGGTGTTCAGGGCTTACCCTGTCTCTGTACTCAGTGATTACTCCTGACAGGACTCAGGGGACCCTGTGTGGTAATAGGGAATGAACTTGGGTTAGCCACATACAAGGCAAGTGCCCAAACCACGGTACTACTGCTCCAGTCCCCCAAATTCTTTATACATGACCTTTCACAATTCTCAAGATTAATAAACACTAAATTAGGTTCATTTACTCTGTCTTACCTACTGCAGAGAATTCCAAATCTAGGAATATACCACAGTCAACTGATCCATTTTCCTACCCAAAACATTTATATTTCAATTTTCTTCTATTCTAGGCAACACTGTAAAAATTCTTGAATAAGGGCCAGAGAAACAGTAGAGTGGGTAGGGCATTTGCCTTGCACACAGCTGACCCAGGTACAAGTCCCAGCATTCCATATGGTGGCCTCCAGCCCGACCAGGAGTAATCCCTGAGCACAGAGCCGGGAGTCAGCAGTCCTGAGCAATGCCAGGTGTAGCCCCCAACCCCAAAACAAAATAAAGCAAAACAAAAAAATCTTAAACATGTTTGTTTGTGGCTTCCAACACAAAATGAACCTCTGCTGGTTTGCCCTGCAGACTTCGGGCTTGCCAAGCCTCTATAATCACATTAGCCAAGTCCCCTCTTCCTCTCATCTTCCCTCCACTTCCCTCCTTTGGTTTTGTTTCCTGAGGAAAGGATCTCTAGTCCGAAAGCCAGTGCAGTCACTGGCCCATCCCTCTCACAGAGCACAGTCCTGCTATGGCTATCAACTAACATCCATGAACAGCTGCTTTATATATTTTATTGAGTTTTCTAATCGTTTATAACAGAGGGCGAGGCAAATGCCATGAAGAATGTCACGGTCAAAATCAAGTCTGTCATTTGTACTTTTAATTGGTATACATTTATACTTTAGATCGTATACTTACATTCTTACATTCATACGTATTTACATTCTGGAGGACATATCATGGAATATGACTAAAATACATAAATGCAAGAATTAAAACTGTAATGAAGTGGGGCTAACTTAAAATACCAATGATTAATAAAAAAGATTTGTCAATTATGAACAACTTTGCAACTATGTACCTCAAGTTCATTTAAAATTTTTTTAAATTTTAAAATAAATAAAAATAAATGAGATATGCTGAAACATTTCCCTGTCTCCTTCAGCAGAATATTTCTAGTGTTTTCATTTCCTATTGCAATAGTATTTCTATGAACTATCTGCAGTCTTTGGGATATACTTTCTGTAGAGGTAAAACTGTCAAAGAGAACAATCACTTTGATTTGCTGCACTGCTCTTACCAAGCCTACAACACTGATTTCTGGCAGTATAATATGAGATCCTGCTACAGGCCATCAATTTTGCTTTCTTTTTTTTATTGCAGTAACTTTGGTTTACAAGATTGTAAGTTTTAGGAGTCAGGTTTATACCTCCTCAAATATGTTACCACACAACACCCATCACCAAAGTACCAGTGACTGTTCACCACGGTCTACTGGAACCTCTCTAGCCTAGCCTGCCCCCTGCCTGGCAAACTCTGGCAACCTCTGTTCTGCTCCAAGCGTTTGGTTGAGTTCTGTCTCTTCCTTTGCTCTGTTTCTTTATAATACATAAAACGGGAATCACTATTTGTCTATTTTCCTGAATACTTATACTTCATTCAGCATAATTCCTTCCAGTTCAGTCATTCTGCAAATGCCAAGAGTTTGTCATATTCTTTTAATAGCTGTATTCCAAGCAATACACACAACACACCTTAATCCAATTATCTGGTGTTGGGTACTTGGCTTGGCTACTGTAAATAAATCTGCAATGAACACCGAAATGCATCTTTTTAAATTTATGTTTCTATGCTCATAGGATACCTAGATATAAAACTGCTGGACCTATGATGGATCTATTTTTAGTATTTTGAATAATTTTCACACCTATTTTCAACCCAGGTTGGGCTAATTGACATTCCCACCAACTGTTATGAGGGTTCCTTTTTATTCACATCCTTGATTCTGATCTTTCTCATCCAAGGCATTTTTAAAGGTGATTTTAATTCTCCTTCGCTGATAAAAAAGTAATGAATGTATTTTTTGTGTGTTTTTGTTGAAGTCTTTATTCTATGTTTCCTCTTTGGAACAGTGTCTATTTAAGCTAAAATGGCAGTGGTCTGCACATAGAATAGTTTGGATTTTATTTACTAGCAGCAACTTTTTAATTTGTAGGAATTAGATGTCAGTTTTCTTAAAATGTCCATCCAGTTTCCATCTATAGCTTTGTTTCTGTAAACCAGCCGTTTGTTAATTATACTTCTTTGCATGTATAAATTAATCACAACAGGTATGCATCCCTGAAAACCCATGATTTTAAAATAATTAATGCCAAATGAATGTTATTATGCTAACATCTTCCTCAAAAAATGATTATTTTAAAGCAGAAAGATAATTTATACTTGGGAAACATAAGTGAGATTCTACATTAAGTTATAGTTTTAGAAAGTTCTGTTTAATTTAGTAGGTCCTTATAGGTGACACTTTTTTCTGAATTCTGAAGTAGGTTCCTTTCCCAAAAATGAATTAAACTTTGTTGTGAGAGTTTATGACACAAAATACACATAACAGCGAATAGCCCAAGAGCATTCAATTTATCTTTTTCTGTATCCCTTACTGTCCTTTCTGTTTTGGAGAAAATATTGCTTTGGAGAAAATCTCATATATATCATAGATTTCTATTAATTCTTTGTCCCTTTCTCATCCTCAATGTATTTCTACATCACCATGATGTTTTACTCTGGTAAATGGATATATGCCTTGATTTAGTTTTAAAAAGCCAATTTAATACTATTTTCTTTTTAATAACAGTGACTGCTCATATGCCAACCTTCACATTTTAAATTTTAAATATTCTACCTACCTTATTTTCCCCTTTCCTCTTAGTTCTATACTGATATATATATGTATGTATATATATATGTATGTATATATATATGTATGTACATACATATATATATTTTTAATTTTCTGGTTTTAGATTCACACTCGCAGTGCTCAGGGCCAATTCCCAGTTTTATGCTTAAGGATAACTCCTGGCAGTGCTCAAGGACCAGCCATGTATGCAGTGCTGATGAGGGAGGGCTGAACCAGGGTCACCCACATGCAAAACACGTTCCCTAACCCCTATAATATCTCTTTAGCTCCTTGATGTAATTTTTTAATGAAACTGTTCCCTTAAGCAGTCTGGAAATTGTATGATCTAGTCTGTTTGACCTGTTTCTTACGCTATTCAGAAACACACACACACACACACACACACACACACACACACACACATACATACATAAAGCTAGAAGGCCAACACCTAGAACTTTAATTCTACGTATATATTTATTTTGTTTTGTTTGAGGGCCACACCAGGAAGGGCTACTACTCACTCGAGCTCTAGAGTTAATCTTTGTAATATGATGCTGGAGATTCAAACCAGGGTCATACGGATGCAATGCAAGCCCTTGACCTACTCTACTATATCTCCAGATTTCTACCTAGCTATTTTTAAACCCCTTCTATTAAGAATATAATTAGAAAGGACCAGAGGAGACAGCTCAATGGACTGGAGCTCAAGCTTTGCATGCAGGAGTCCCAG